TCCCTTCCGACCCTAGAAACTATGAAACTATGAAATACAATACAGCTTTCTCTTTGCTGACACCCATAAAAATGAGGGGAGAGCTACTAAAATTTTTCTATCCTTTTTCTCCAGCAGTGTAAAAGGGAATAGAAAGCATCTGCCTCTCCAGTATTTTGAACTTGTCTTGAATTGGAGAATCCCTAGAAAACAGAGAACCAGGTTGTATGACACCCTCGTATGGCTCCTTGTGCCTGTAGAAGTAGGCTGAACTATGTTATCTTTGCTCGGAAGACAAAACCTTTGGGGGCTGTTGCCAACTGGTGCAGAAAACAACCACTTAGCCCAGGCATCTTTAACCTGCCCTAGGATGGGGTTTGTCAGAGAACTATAATCTGTTCTCTGAAGAGATGCTTCCATCACTGTTTCAAGGAGCATAAACTTGCAAAGCAGAGTATGTGGATCATAACTGCCACCGAGCTAACATAAATTAATTGCTTGTTTAAACAAACATATGTGAGAAATAATATCAGATAGTATTTACATTTAAATATGGGCACAAGGTCCTGACTGTGCTGCCATTAGCTCTTTTCTGCCATCTTGTTATGGCTGTAGTTGTATACGGCTGAGGCACTTACAAACTATTCCTCAGACGTAGGTTACATTCTTCTTTCCTCAGGCATGAAAAGTAAGTATAGCACAATAAGGTAAAGATGAAGCGAACAGGTGAGAGGAGTAGAAGGGCAAGGTTCCAGACTTCATGGCACTTGAGCAGCAGAAAAAAGAATGCAAAGGAAGGATTATTAAAAAAAAATTAGAAAGATAATTTCTCTAGGAAATAGGGAGAAATGCCTGAATAATAATCACAGTTTTCAAAGTAAGGTATGAAAGCATTAATATAGAAACAACAAAAGCCATTGAGGTAATAGGGAAGACAGGTTATTTGGGGGGGAAAAGTGTTTTAGCCAAGAGCAACTCCACCCAAAAATTCTAGTCTCAAAGTCAAGTTCTCAAAAAAAAAAAAAAAAAAAGGAAAAAAATTTAAATCAACTGACTGCACTGTGTATTGCCCTAGATATTGGATCTAAATATAACTTAGCAGGCCCCAACTGAGCAATGGGCTCTGCCAGTAGCATGCAGCTTAGGATCCTCCTCAAACATGAGGGGATACATTAACAGATCCCAAGATACAGTTTGGGCTGCAGGGTACAATCTTGTGAACATGTACTCAGATACAGTTGCTCATATCAAAGGGACATGGATATATAAACAACCTACGAGAAGCAAGGTCTGGTTTGGTAATATCTTTTACTGAACCAGCAATATAGTGGGGAGAGATGTTAGATATTAGAAATAGTCTTCCTGAGCATTTTTGTGGCCAAAAGTTTGTCTAACATCTCTACAGTTGGTAAAATAAAATACACTACCAATCAAAATTTGCTTCTTGCATATTTCTTAGATCACCATAGCTATAGCACTCCCACTCTAGTAAAAACAACTTACTATAGGGTAAAAGAAGGGGGGATTTGCTGTGTATCAGCTGGTACACAGTAACTCCCTGAATGCATGATCTTATCCCGAAGTAAGGAGAACATACATCATGGTAACTTAACCCTTAATGAAAATGGAGTAAGTTACTATGGTAAGTAGAATCTGAACCACAGGGTAAAAGAGAACACATAGGCAACTAAGAAGTACACATAAGATAAAGCCCTGTCCCTTTTACCCTGTGGGAAATCATTATGTCCATTCCCTTAGGGTCTGGGGGATGAAACCCTCAAACTCTGGGTGACTTTGCAGCACCAAAGCAACAGCATGTCCCAGTTAGCATGCCTCACTTACACAGGCTCCACATTGAGGCCCCATGTACACATTATACACATTACACTAAAGGTGTGATTAACCTTTTAATCACACCTTTAGTTGTGGCCCAGCTATACATTCAACCAATTAATGGCGTGATAAGCAATAAGCTACAAAGTTATTCAACAAAAAAACTGTAATAACTTTGCAGCTTGTTCTTATCATGCCATTAACTGAACATGTGGCTAAATGCTCCCCCCACATGGCTGGGAATCCCATCAACTGAGGAGCTCCCAGCTACAGGGTTGCACCACCAGCTGCCAGTTCTGCAGCTGACAAGACTTGCACTGGCAGCAGCATTGACGGCATTGCTCCCCACTGTGGACCTCACCAGTTGTTGGGCTCAGAGTGGGGAGAATGCTGCCTCCTGTGAGCCTCATGAGATGCAGGGCTTATGGGGGGCGGATGGGGGGACACGATACGGCAGAGAACACTGCCCCATCTGCAAGCCTCATCAGCTGTGGGGCTTGCAGTGGGGGCAGCATGGGGAATGCTGCCTCCACTGCAACTCCTATCAGCTGCGGGGCTGACAGCTATGGGAGCCAGTGTAAGGAGAGCACAGGAATGCAATCCTGGGCTCCCCTTACACTGGCAATAAGGCATGATTGGATCTGATGCTGGATCCCACAATCATTCCTCCTCCCATGCACATGTGGCATGGCAGGAAGCGTGACTGTGTGGATTGTGCATCAGATCCTATCACACCTTTACCTGAATGTGTAGAGGCCCCAGGAGTGTACAAGTGAAACCACCTTGGGGTCACCTCCAGCAGCTGCTCTCCAGCACATTGGGGATCAGAGTCCTAAAAGCAGCTGCAGAAGGACACCACACAGCCACCTGATTAGCATATATCTAGGTATGGAGCACTTGTCTTTGGCAGCAGTTGCTAAGGTGAGACACAGGTCATCTCTCCTGGGACATATTACTGCTGCAGTGGAGAGTTACCTCTTGTGATACAGAGACATCTTCTCTCATCTGAGTCGCCCCATACTTTTGAGAACTAGATGAATAAAAAAGTAGTGACATCTAATAAAATAGTAAATCTCATGGGCAAGCTTTACACATTTTTGGTCATTATCCATGAAGAAACATACTTGTTCTCCCAAAAGCTGCTAAATTGTTGTGCAAAGTGCCACTGTTAGACTGCACCACAACTCGGTACTGCTCCCCTGCTTCCAACTTGTTAAATATGTGCTCATAGACATGCTTCGAGACAGTCTGGGAATCAAGCTGATGGCTTTGCTGAAATAACATCACTGTGTAGGAATCAACATCCCCTGCTCCAGGAGTCCAGTTGACTTTTAGGCTGTTTGTCATCCCACTGGGGGAAATGTGAATGTTTTTGACTGCACTTGGAACTGGAATAAAAAGAAACAGAGAAATCAGTCAGAAATGTTTCATTCCATTGAACTATTTCACTTGGTATTATTTCTGTAGTTGCAGCAAATGACATTCTAAAGTTTAGAACAAGAATGACTACAACAAGAAAAAGGACCCTTGCCTCACGATGATACATGCTTACACACAGGCATAATGTGACTCATGTGAGCAGTCCAGTTTCCCATAACAATAAAGATACAGATGTGTATGAGTGTTTGCAATATGGTTCCTTAAAAATATACAACACTCTCTCTCTCCTTCCCTCTCTCTCTTTTTGTATTTGGAAATCAAACACCACATGTTTTCAAGGAAAATGATAAAGAAAACAAACGAATATTGAATCTCTGCATTCTGCAAATATTACTAAATAATACTATACAAATATATTCCCTCTGGGAATATCAAAGCTTTTTGCAGACATTAACACATGAAGCCTCTTGAAACCTAAATAATAAACATATTGTACAGGTGGGTAAATTGAGGCATCGAGCATTTAAATTATCAAGCAAGGTCACCAAGCAAATCAGGAGTAAAGACAGGCATAAAAGAAACCCATCTCCTCCCATAATCAACTAAGCAACTATCCTCAAATATTCACATGCTAATGCTTTTGACATGTATTTATTAATGTAAGGTCATGTTAGCAGAAATGTCAATATTACAGCTGGTTTCACTGTGTAATAAGGCTCAAGCAATTTGGGACCCAGCCTGGATTTTCTGAATTTCCAGTTCTTTTCTCTGGTTATTGAATGAAAAAACCGTAAGGCAAGTTTTAATTGTTGCATTTTTTCTTACTTGTCAGTCCTTCTATGAAAGTAGCACACTGTGCATTGCCACTAATTGTTGAGACAAAAATTTTGTATAGGCGTCCCGGGGTGAGAGCCGTGAACTGATACTCCTCAATGGTGTTTCCAAGCAAAATGGGCGGGAAGACCTTCATGTCATTGAAGAGCAGCTGAATCTCATACTTATCAACATCCCCCTCAGCCTTTGACCAGGTAACTCGCAGATCTTCTGTGCTTCTGTTACTAAGAGACAGACTCTTTACTGACTCTGGCACTGACAAGACAATAGAAAAGAGGCCCAGATAAAAATCTCAGTGATCATTATTCTGGTTACAGTTCTGAAATACTACTGCTGGTGTGAACTCTCTCAAACAAACTTTTATTGAAAGCCATGGATTATATTTAAGGCACATGTTACAACACCTAGCACAGTGAGGTCCAGGTACCTCAGCTATTATATTATAAATATAATAATAAAGTTATAATATGAGAGGCAATTTTATTAATAATAAAAATGTAGATGATCCTTCCTGTATCTTCAATGGGTCACATGAAAAAGTGTTTTAAGTGAGTGATGCTTTGCATGGCCTGTCATAGCTTTTCAAACATAAATAATGGATTAACCTTGTACAACATTACAGAATCTTCATTTCAAAGGTTTCAAAACCCAAAACAAATATCTAGTTTTCCTTTCTTTGATTTAAACATTCATTGTAACCTAATTACTTCCTGTTTGTACAGTGACACCCATCTGTAGAGTCAAGTTATCATGGTTAGCTATTAACATATCATTCACCTTTTTTCCTGTGTATTGTAAATACAAATGTCTCCCTCCAAATAGAATTCTCTCCCAGGTATTTACTTACTTGTTCTTCCATACACCCTTTCCATAGTCTCATATTTTCCACTCTTTGTGCTAACAGTGATGCTGTACTGCCTCCCTGGGACCAGTTTACTGAACACACATTCATTTGCATCTTTGGGGACACTTTTAGTTTGGATGAAGTCATTGTTGTTCTTGATGATCACTTCATAATTATCAAAATCTCCAGTGGCGTGCAGCCAGGACACTTTTAAATAGTCACTTCTTGCTGAATTGCTGACAGCAATTCCTTGAACACTGGAAGGTACTGGAAGAAAGAAAATAAATAATTAGGGATACAAAACAGCATCTGGTGTCACACAGAAGACCCTAAAAGGGCTAGACAATCACTATATTGGATTAGGGTAATCAGAAACAGATCCTTCAGAGGAGGATGCAATAAATCCCTACACATCAGGAAGTTATGGCCTGGACTGTCCACTTAGAAAGTTTCTTCTTAAACCCTATTAGAGGTTAGGTTATGCCATTTATCATGAAGGACCAAGAGGAGATGGGGGAAAGGGGGGGTTAATTCTTGTTAATTGTAACACCCGCTGTTCTTATTAGCCATATACAAAGGCAACATTGTTACTGAACCCTACTGAAGTCTTTGGGTCAGATCCTGTTCCACTTATTAGACACCAAGTGGATGTAGGCTCCTAAGTGTGATCCTATTCTAGCCTCCTTGAGTCCCTGAAAAAATCTATTACTGTCTTCATCTTTGCCATAAGATTAAAGTACAAAAAGTGGCAGAGAGGAAGAGGATCCACCCACCCTTTTGTATTAACAAGTTTTTAGGGAACTGAGTAGGTTGGCATAGAATTGCACTTCGGTGCCTAATAAGTAGAATGAGATCTGGACCTTTGTCTTGAGGCTATAATGTGGCAATGAGTTCCATAGATTGACTTTGCAATGAGTGGATGAGAATTTCCTTTTATTTGTTCTATGTTGGCTACCTTTCAGTTTAATTTACTGTTCTCTTGTTCTTCTGGAAAGTGAAAAGACTAGAAATGCATGCTATCTTCTGTACCCTTTGTTAATTTGTGTATCTGTCTCCTTTTCTTCTAATACTTCCCTAGCTGAACCGTTTTTAATACTTTTTTAAATATCTTCACATCAATTCTTCCCACAACTTTAATAATTTTGGTCACTTTTCCCTGAAACCCCCTATGCCTGTTACATCCTCTTTAATAGAGCACAATCAGAAGTTAAGGAGTTTATGTATCCTTCATTTATATGATAAAATATTTTCAGTCTTACTTTCCATTCTCTATTCACTTACGCACCTGTTTTTGTGGGGTTTTTTGCCTCTTGGACGGTGACAGCAAACAATGGTACATAACAGGCTAAACAAAAAGATTTGGGGCAAAGAACTATTGAGCCAAAAATTGTCATCTGAGCTCAGTTCACCATGAGGACTGTCAAATGATTAGATTCTGATGTTTCACAAAATTGAAAGCTCCTTACCCTTTCACTTATACTTAGATTAAAATTCTGGGTCTCCTGAAAACCACAAATTAATTCTCACTCAGGCTGTCTCTACCATGTAATTACTCTGTGTCCGTCTTTTCCTTATCATGCAGTGAGCTAAATTCTGTTCCCATTAAGTCAATTGCGGCTTCAACATTGGCTTCAACAGAGGTGAGAACAGTAGGCCTGATTCTCATTTATGTTCAGGACTGCAGCGCCAGGGTTAATGGGAATCAGTCCTTCATTGTTTAGCAGTGTAGTTTGTGACCTAACCCTCTCACCCATAACCCTCAGGTACACTTTTTGGTCAAATGCTAATGCTAAGATGGATCACTGCAAAAGACTGAACAAGAGACATGACTGAATTCACAGAGCTTCTTTTTTCTCTCCTTTTTACCTGTTCTTTCCTGACTGAAGGAATGATTTTCATATTTCCCACTTTTTGTGGTTATCATCACATTGTAGAGTCTTCCAGGAGTGAGGCTGTTAAAGGAACATTCACTGAAGGATTTGGAAATAGTCAGAGTCTGAACAGTCTGGCCGTTATGAGAGAGTGTTACCAAATAGCTATCTACATCTCCGGTAGCTGGCAGCCAAGAAACACTGAGGTAGTCACGCCGACCTGAGTTATTCACTGTTACTCCAGTCACACTGGAAGGAACTATTCAACAAAAAAATAAAAGAGGAGAATTATATAGCTTACTCCTATTAAGGGTAACAGGCATATATAGAACATGACTATGAAAAATTAAAATCTAGGGTTCTTATTCAGGACTAGGAAGATTTGCACAGCAAACAGCTGAGTTTCTGAGGAAACTGAATGAAATTATCTGTGACAGTAAGACTAAAGGTCTGATGGTGACACTTCAAAAATCTCAAAATATTGCTATGCTCACAAAGCGTCATTCATCATGAGTATGAATAACCACTTATACTTCAGTTGTTTCAAAGCCCCAGCAAACATATATATTTAATTATCAGTAGTTTTCTGCCCTCTAGTGATCAGATTTTATATTCATGAATTTATTTATTTGCAGTGAAGCAAATTGTGCCCATGGGTTTCAACTTGTTAGAGCTGGTCAGTTTCTCATGTAATTATCAGAAGTATTTACTGCAATACTGTAACTTGAATATGTCAGACCCTTAGCAGGCACAATTTGGTATAACTCCACTGAAGTGAAGCTGATGTACACTTGTGGAGGCTCTTGTGGCCCATATTCTGTCATAGTCAATAGTAATGGGAGATTTTAAGACTGTTTTCTGGTTTTTAAAGCTTTCAGTTCTATTTTCTCACTGTTTTCATTACTTTTTTCTGCAAATACAATTCTTTGTTTTTGTGAGAAACATCTGAGTCAAATCACAGAATTTTTGTCTTTCCTGAATTAAAAAAAATGATTCATTTGTATTGGTGCTTTAGTATTTTTCCAAGTCATTCAATATCCAGAGGACTGTTGCTGGTCTCTCTGGCTCCTGAAAGGTGCAGAATTAAACCAAAAGATTCTGAACTGAATGTTTTGCATCCTTGTACTATGTGAAGGGCATCACAAAGAGCCATTATAATTCACAAGAATCTTGGCAAGAGACAGGGAATGGAGGGACAAGGGATTTAGTGACTTGTCCAGGATTACACGCAGGAAATCTTTGGCTAAATCTAGCAGCTAACCCACTGCTGATCTAGTGCTTTAATCACAAAAACCTTTCTTCATATTGAATTCAGGCTTAAAGAATTTACAAATAGGGGGTGGAGTGCATCCTTCTCCCCTTTTATACCTGTCCTTCCTTCTGCAATTGTTTGTCTGGAAGATATTCCTCCACTAACTGTGGTCACGACCACTGAGTAGAGGCCTCCAGGTTTCAGGGAATGGAAGTGGTATCTGTTGGTCTCACTGGGTACAGTCTCATTTTTAATGACTACATTTTCATGAATCAGCAGCACTTGGTATGACTCTACATCTCCCACTGCCCTTGTCCAATTGGTGAACAGACTGTTGGTTGTTCCTTGGTTTTCCACAGTTAGGCTAGTCACCTGAGCTGGCACTGCAATGGGAAAATGGCATATTAGTAAACAGAAACAAAGATAAAAAATTCCCCAAATAAACAGAGTTCAGTCACACTACAGAAATGCATCAAAGCAGCAGTTCAATTTACAGACAGACTCAACAGGCCTAAAAATAAACTAACTGTGGACTCCCAGTCCTGTTTCCTGTCTGATGGGATGTGGTGTATCGGAAACCATCTACTGTACTGAGACGTCTCCCAGGCTGTAATAGGTCAGACTAAAATGATTCAAGATTGAAAGCCTGGGAGGGCCCACATTTCATAAATACCATTTAAATAAAAACAAAATACTTAAAAAATAATTGTTTATGTAATGACTATTGTACTTGCCTAGAATTCTCCCACCCACCTGTCCCTATTCAGTGGCAAATGAATTCCACAAACAAAAAGGACTTAGCTAAGGAAACACCTTTCAATTCTGTAATTTTCTGAGTTACTGAGACATATGTTATTAGTCTTTCTTGAATTTGTTTTGCTATGGAAAAAATTCAGAGCACTCATTTTTTACTATCACAAGCTGAATTATAGAAGGCCATTCTTGTTACAATAGGGTAGACCTGTATAGACAAAAGTAAATGGCACCTGGCTTAACATTTGGACCAAATTTTCACAAAAGCTCAAATTAACCTTTTAAAAATTTGACAAAATTTGGTTGAAATAAGGAAATATTTTGGCCTTGGTTGGCAGTCAGACTTAACTGTCCTACCTTCCTATATGTGAAAACACATAAACCCTGAAAAATTAAGGTCCAGACATCCTATTTTGTCTAATATCAATCCCAGTACTAAAATACTAACTATTGGACTTTGGTTCCAAAATAATTTGGCCTAATCTATTTTTAATGTGCACCTACTTTCATCTAATTGTACTTCTAATTACCACTGAAATAATTCTACTGACAGTAATCATTGTATTAGTGATATTAAATATAATTAGATTAAGTTAAAAATTTACTTATTAAAAGTAGATCAGATTAGGTCAATTATAGAGTTGTCAGAACCAAAATCCTGTGTTCAAACATGACTGAACTTTGGAAAAGTTTGAATCTGATTCTGAACTTTTCCTCTCAACCTTGTGTGGGCTTTGTCATTGTGAGGTTTGGCTTTTTGGGCAAAGGGCTATTTTTACCTATTCAGACCATACTAGGATTTTTGTGGGAACACCTTTACATTCCAACATATACTTGCAAACCTAGTAGGTTCTGGAAGTTGATAAGGTTGAGAGACTATTAGGTCTCAGCTATATGGTACATTCAAAAGTAAACTCCAAAGTTTCTGAGTTTGATACTTTATAACCAGTGCCTGATTTGACTGCAAAAAATAGATTCAGCCTAAGTGAGGTGTGACAGTCACCCTTTTCAAGGATGGGGTGCCTAAAAGAGAGGGGAATGAAATCTCAGCTCTAATTACAAAATAGATAAATGAAGGTTGAAGTCAAGCATCCTACTGTACAAAAGAATCATAACACTTTATTAAGCTTCACAAGGGATCATTATCAAGGTTTGTAAGCTTGATTTGACTAACTGCAATGTATGGTTTTTTCAGGGTTGTGTCCACCTGCAGTTACAATTTAAGACCTTGAAAGCATTAAGGAGCACATCAGTCGAGAAAAGCAAAGTGACATACATGATTTACATTTGTTCATGTGCACAAAATTAGCACCCTGTCATTTTCATACTAGCATCCAAAAAGGATTACAATTTTACTTGTGCAGCAGTCTTCATCTTGAGAACAGACAGAGGTTTTTGAATCAAAAGGGCAGTGAAATTCAAACTATATTTTGAAGATTATACATGTTTTCTGTCTGCCAAACTTGAAATTTTCCCCTGAAGCAATACTTTTACATTATATTTTTTCCAAAGGTGAACTTCCCTTAGAAAGTAAAAATGGGCCTTTTATATGGAGTCTCATGCTAATACATATTGATCAGACACAACATCCATATTTCAGAAACCAATTTTGATTAGGAATTACATATCCTTCCCAGAAAGAGTTGGCAAATGGCAGAGAAGAGAAAGGATGTTCTGAAATATACTGTAAAGTACCTTACATACATAAAAAGAGATTTGGAAATGTGACATTTCTACTGAGAAAATGCGCACACGTTCCTGAGTCAATTCAAAGATAGCTAGCAGTTGGTGGTGGTGACTCACGAAAGTTAAAGCAGACTGATAATATGGTACCTGTTCTTCCTTCTACTGAAGTCCAGTTGCTTAAATCCCCACTAAAGCTGGTGACAATAGCTGTGTATTTTCTCCCAGGATCTAAATCAGCAAAGGTGAATTCTTTAGCTTCTTTTGCAAGAGCTTTGTTTCTGACAGTAAGACCAGTATCTTCCAATGAAACCACATAATTGTCCCATTCTGCAATAGGGGTTACCCACATAATACTAAGTGAAGATTCATTGGTATGCTTTATACGGAGATGAAGAACAGGATGCGGAGCTATGGGAAGAACATAAATATAGCAATGAGCAAAGGACTTTACAGTGAATATATGTGCCACATCTTGGCAAAACACATGAAAGGAATCAGTAAAAACCTAACATTGTGCATTTGTGTTAATGGGATATAAGGATATCTCCCAACAGAGTAACAATTTTATTGAGGGAATGGTGATAAACTCTAACCCAACAAGGAACGTATTTTTTTTAAGGAGGAAACCTTTTAAATCTAAGCACAGATTTAACTGTCTTGTTGAACCTGGGGTCCTAGACAGGGAAATAAAGAATTAGTATTGGAAAATGGCTGTAATAAATATGAAAGGTATGTGCCTAAGTCCACATTCTATTCTTACCCTGGTGTTTTTCTGGAGGAATTCTACTGAAGTTAAGGGGATGATTCCAGCTATAGAGTAGAACAAAGGAGAGAAGAACTTTATCCTCTATATGCATATTGAGGACTTGATGTATGCGTGTAAAGGGATGTAGAGTATTCATCATTAAATTTGGTCTCATAGGAGAAAGCCTAGTCTCTCTCACTTTGCAATTATACCAGTGAAGTTCAGTTAACTTCAAAGAAATCACTACAGGTTTGCTCCAGAGACAGTGAAATCAAAATGGGTCCCATATTTATATTCATAGAATCACAGAAAGTTAGGGTTGGAAGGGACCTCAGGTGGTCATCTAGTCCATCCCCCTGCTCAAAGCAGGACCATCCCCAATTACATCATTCCAGACAGGGCTTTGTCTAGCCGGGTTTTGAAAACCTCCAAAGATGGAGCTTCCACCACCTCTTTGGATAGCCTACTTCAGTGTTTTACTATTCTCCTAGTGAGAAAATTCTTCCTGATAGATATCTAATCTAAACTACCCTTGATGCAACTTAAGACCATTGCTCCTTGTTCCGTCATCTGCCACCACTAAGAACAGTCTAGCCCCATCCTCTTTTGAACCCCACCATGAGGTAGTTGAGTCTGCTCTTAGTCTTCTCTTTTCTATACTAAATAAGCCCAGTTCACTTAGTCTTTCTTCATAAGTTATGTCCCCCAGCCCCCTCATCATTTTTGTTGCCCTCCACTGGACTCTCTCCCATTTGCCCACATCCTTTCTGTAGTAAGGGGCCTGAAACTGAACATAGTACTCCAGATGTGGCCTCACCAGTGCTGAATAGAGGGGAATAATCACTTCCCTTGGCCTTCTGGCAACACTCCTACCAATGCAGCCCAGTATGCCTCTAGCCTTCTTTGTAACAAGACCACTCTGCTGGCTCATATTCAGCCTATTGTCCATTGTAACCCCCAGGTCCTTTTCTGCAGAGCTGCTGCCCAATTAGTCCCATGGATAAGCTGAGCCATGGAAGATTAGTTCCTTTAGATTTATTGCAGCTAAATCAGTGCAAATGAGGATTACCTCCACTAATACTATAGATTTGCAATAATGAACATAATCTGGCAACAGTTCTCATATAAGGCTGTTTGTACATCACTCGGTTACATCTCATGGGTCTAATTCTACTTTCACAAAGCAAAACAGGAGTTCCTTCAATGAAGCCAACAGAGTTATATTAGTGTAAAAGTGGTGTGAATCATTACATGCAAACCTCGCTTACCTAAACTGCACTCACTTCACTTCAAATGCTTTCCACATTTACATAAGACTGGGTCTCCGGGAAAGGCAGAATCAGTCCAAATTACACTGCTTTATCACTTATCCCCATTTTCTGACCAGCTGAAATTCAATGGGAAAATTCAAGCATTGTCCACACCACAACTGGACATGGTATCCTAAGATAACTAAAGCCAGAAAGCAGCAAATAACAAAGATCTAGGTATTTGTTCTTTTGTTTACGAAGTCAGTAGGCAGATAACTACACCAGTAAAATTAGTTACCTGTAACGTTCATGTAAAAGCAGTTTTCTTGTGAATCATTTAGTGAAATTCACTTGTGAATTTCCTAATCAATAAGCACCATATCTGTTTTTTTTTTTAAACTGCCAAAATAGTCCCCTTGAATATTTTGAAAATTCAAATTAACAGAATAATAAGAGTGCTGACCTGTTCGGCCCTTGCAATGAGCAGCATTTTGTAAATTTCCACTTTCCACTATAACTGCCACCTCATATTGTCTTCCTGGGATGAGTCCTATATCATGGATGACATATTCTGTTCGGTCTTTCTCAATTGTAGTGTTCAGCAGCACAGTTGAAAGGTTCAGAAGCACAAGATTGTACCTTTCCCAGTCTCCCGCAGGGGGCAGCCAGCTCACTCTCAGAGATCTCAACCAACCACCACTACTTGCTTTCAGATTAGAAACTTTCTGGGGAACTGAAATACAGAAACAAGAGAGAGACTTTGTATTTTTTTTCCCTGAGGAGACACTACTAGACAGCATTGAAACCTGATTCACAGCCCAGCCACTGATGAAGTACTAAGCAATCCCCCGTAAAAATACTTGGGCAGCTAAAATTCTGCTGCTGTGCATACTCAGAGGTACTACCTCCTCACCTGAGCTAAGCAGCTTGGTGCTGATCTAATGCCTAAAGCCATTTGGAAACTATAAACTAGGCATTTCTGTGCCTAAGTCCCTTTCAGAGCCAAATTCACTAGTGTCTAACGCATACAAACAACACTTAGTTCAGCCAAAAACACAGCAGCCAGGGCTGGTGGTGGTCAGGAACATGGGTTGTTGTAGGTGCTACTTCCTATACACCATTCTAGTATTAAATTACTTGGTGAAAAATGAAAGACATGGGTTCTAGGTCTTCATCAAGCCCACATATATGTCCTGCCAGGAGAGTAACTCAGTCTCTAGTATCTGCATT